CATACCATACCATACCATACCATACCATACCATACCATAACATACCATACCATACCAATTTTATTCATAAAGCACTTTAAACAGCACAAGGCCATCCAAAGTGCTGTACAGTAGACAGACACAACAGGACATAGTTGAAATTACAGTCAAGTGATGATAGTCACAAGACTGCAGTGACTGAGATTCAATCAGAATAASAAATTACTCAGTGAACTGAAAGCAACAATTTTAAAGTCCTGTCACTCTATAATGTCTATAACTTYTGCCAACTTGTGAACATTTTGTTARCARTATTTTACTCATATTGGCTATATATTTGATCAAATTGTTAGCATTACACCATGTATAGGTCCAAAACAGGCTTCCAGRAGATTTTTTTCAAACTCTATATTCAGCTTAGACTACTTTAGTGTTGGACAAACTTCTCAGAAGCTGATGTTATAGTGCACTACAACATCATTAACTTCATTTAACATTATTAACTTTATCGTAATTGATCCCATTTTTTTGGGAAACTGCTGTATCTGAAATRAAACAACACTTGGCAAACTCTTTACTGTACAATGTTATTAATGTATTTAGATTGTGTTGAAGTCTGGGATAACAAAATAACACGTACAATGCAAAAAAGAACAACAAGAATGATGCACAATGTTTGGTATCGTGAATATACAGTACAAAACCACTTTTTTCAAATTACAACTTGTGAAATTTATGGATTTAGTGCAATTTTAATGATGAAATGATGATGGTGATGTTTCAAGTTACTTATTRTAAGTGCAAACTTTGACATTGTTGTCAGTTTTTCATTACATAATTAGTCCAGCAGAAATATCATGCATGAAGTGCTACAGCTAGCTGCTGCCCTTGCAAATAAACAGATTTACTTGTAAATAAAGCAAAACTGATGTAAAAGTGTTTGAATGAACCGCTAAGAAACTTTGGGGTTTGTAGTTCTTTCAGGATATGAAAGAGTATGCCCTCTCCTATTAGAGAAGATAATTCCTTTCATAATTCATCCTGACCAAACGGYTWTCATAAAAGGAAGGCACTCAACWACAAACTCACYCAGATTGTARAATTTAATAGATTATTCTTACAGTGAAAACATTGAAATGAGTATTCTGTCTCTAGATGCAGAAAAAGCATTTGATAGAGTAAACTGGAAATTCTTATTTGCAAACTTGCATAAATTTGGTTTTGGAAACCATTTCATTAATTGGTTAAAAATATTATATAACTCACCAACAGCATGTGTCAGGACAAATAACCAAACATCCAATAGCTTTTGTTTACAGAGAGGCACCAGGCAGGGATGTCCACTATCCCCCTCACTATTTGCTTTTTTTTTTTTTTCATTTAACCTTTAGCATCCGCGATCAGGCAAGCTGCAGAAATTAAAGGCATGCAGGAACATAGAAAATAAAATTTGTCTTTATGCTGATGATGTTTTACTTTTTCTTCAGCACTCAGAAAACACGCTATCTAAGGTTATTGAATTAATAAACTCTTTTTCAAAAGTCTCTGACTATTCTATAAATTGGTTAAAATCTACAATTCCTCCAATTAATTGTGTTTTTAACAATTCTCTTCATACGCGACTGCAGTCAAGAAATATTAAATATTTGGGTATTAACATTTCTCCTATGTTGGAAGACTTAATAAAATTAAATCACATRCCYCTTTTACAAAAATAGAAGATGATGGAAGTCTCTYCCCATATCACTTATGGGAAGAGTTGCTTCAATTAAAATGATGGTGGTACCAAGAAAAAAAATATTTATTCTCAATGATACCAAATAAACCTTCACCTGTCTGGTTTAAATCCCTGGACTCTTTTATCTCTAAATTTCTTTGGAAAGATAAAACTCTGCATATTAGCTCAAAATCATTACAGAAACCTAAAGATACAGGAGGGCTGGAGTGTCCCAACTTTTAGCAATACTTTTTAGCCAACAGGCTACAATACATTTCAAAGTGGTCAAATCCTAATCTGTTAGATGAATCTTGGCTAGATATAGAACAAACTTATGGCATAAAGTTTGTTCTATATCTAGCCAAGATTCATCTAACGGATTAGGATTTGACCACTTTGAAATGTATTGTAGCCTGTTGGCTAAAAAGTATTACTTATACATTAAGATTTCAGATCTCTCATTTATTAGCGCTAACATAAAACAAAACATGAGTGCTTTAAATGAATCAATATCAGCTCATCTCTGGCAGCATGGTGGGAGTTTCTGAAAATGACAAAATCTTCACTACTCCCATGCAGACAGACACCCATCTGGAACAATCCTGACATCCTGCAACAAAACAATATGTTAAACTTTTCAGGGTGGAGGGGTAAAGGAATTTATCATCTGGAACATATATTTGAAGGTGTAGACTTTATTCCATTTAACAAATTAACAATACAATATGGCAT